TGATGATCATAGACATAATGTTTATACTTTGACCACTAGACAAATTTAAACTTCCCTAAACAAAAAAATCCAAAAATTTCAAACATTTCACATTTTTATCGATAACTTCTAAACGCGTATAAAATATTGAAAGATACAAAAATCAAAATATTAGCAATAAAATTATCTACGAATTGACATATAAGTCAATCTTCTATCTCTCACGGTCACTTTGTTACGCTTGTCCAAAGTCCACATTTTTTGCTGTACGCACATTAGCTGCACTTTGTCATAATTGTCATGCGCTGTCATGCTGTCATTTGTATACTTGACAACCTTCATCGCGTCGCTACACATCCATATGATTATCGTTTACGACCACGGCGCTCGCTTATTATGATTTTTATTAAAATCGAACACGCTTCCTTAAATGGCGCGCGCGGCGCTGCGAGCGACTTGTTGACTTTTAAACCGAACAAAGCGCGATGCAAAACAGCAAAGCCACAAACACACACACAAATTATTCAACGATTATAAAGTGTGTATAATAAAAACATACATTTTAGCGTAGTTTGTGCGTTAAAAACGCTTCAAGACAAGAAGTTGTAGTGTAAAAGCCTTGACATCGACCAAAAAAGTCCATTCTCGACGCAACCTTACATCTACCACCTACGCAACGCACACAACATTCAAGAATCGTAAATATTTTACATTATTTTGCGTTGAATAGAATTGTGCAGAAAAATTACTTTCACTTTACTTTTAATTTTTAAGTTTTATTCTTGATGTTTATATTGATAAAAATTACACAATGAGTGTTGGTTATTTGTTGCAAGGTCTCATCAAACCGACCATTTCCTAGTCTGATGCATACAACACAAAAGCAGTAATTATTTGCGCTTCAAATTAGTTTTGAAAAATAAAAACAATGTTAAACGCAACAAAACCGCAAAATATTAAGATAAAAAGTAACTTCATGTTTAACGCCCTCTAGCGGCCAAACTATGCAGAATATTTTAAATGTTTAAACGGTATATTATAAAATGTTTAATTTTCTGTAAATATACGTTTAAATATATAATTTATAACAAATAGTTTATTATCTATAAGCGTTTGAAAAAATGTAAATTTCAATGAAAAAAATTATATTTTACTAATTATTAAATAATAGGTAAACTAATAATTAAAAATTAATTATCACTACATGATTTCATACCTAATTAAATAGTCTATTAATACATGCAAAGATAATTGAAAAATATTAATTAGTTTACAAGTTATGGCAAAATTAGTTCCAAGGTAAAAACTAGATCACTTTTTGAGTCATACATGCACCCGCCGATTGAAAACGAGTCCTTATTCATTTATTTATTTTGGGTTGGATTTTATTTTTGGTCTGGTAATTTAATTTGCCTCAACCTGCATATTGGGTGCGCGATCTACATGTCGAGCAGTTCACACATCTGCTCGAAATGGCAAAGGACGTTGTGTCGTTGTTCGATTTGACGTTCGTCCTTTGCCTCGGCAAAGACGCCACCATATTTGGTAACAATTCGTTTTCGTTTTCCGTTTCGAGCGCTTCCGACCTTCGCAATGCGTATACACTTGTGCACGGTCATTTTTAGCGTAATGACGTTTTAAGAAATGAATTAAATTGATTGATTCACAATCACAATTTTATAACTTTGAAGGTGTTTATCTCTCATATCATGAATGCTATAATAATACAAAAAGCATTTTTATGTCAAGAATTTATTAAGCTTTAATTTTATAAATTCAAAATTTACTTAGTTATAAAATTAACAAAGTTATAAGCGATTTACTGATTTAATTAAAAAATTAAGTAAATTTTCCATCTTTCAACTTTGCAGCCCTCTAGCGGCCAAAGTATAAATCACAAAATACGTATCATACTCCTATTGTGTTTGAAATTTAATTATCTTTAATTTGACATATTATTTGTTCAAATAATTATAAAATTACAATATTTCTGTGTAATTTTATAACAAAAATGAACTTTTCTTTTTCGAACGTCTACGTTTAAGTTAGCGCGATTTTGCGTCATTTTAACTAATGAAATGGAAAGCATGCATTATTCGTTTTAATATCTTTATATGAAGAATTTAATTGGCTTTAATTCGACATATAACTTTTACATAATTTAAAAAAATTGAAGAAATTAGAAGCAAAAAAGTGATTAAAGTCAAATATTCATGTTCCATTTTAGTAAATCTACTTTAAGGCCCTCTAGCGGCCAAAATAAAATAGGTTCATTATTGGAAATAATTTTATTATAAACAAAAATTATTTATCTTCAATACACAATTTAAAATTTTGAAAAATTCGTAAAATTGTAAAAGTTAAAGGTGATTTACTATAAAACTAATATTTTAAGTAACATTACTTAGTAAAACAACATTAATCCGAAAATATTCCACCCTTTGTATTTCAAAACCTAAAATTAGTTCCCTACCCAACATAGAAATTAAAAGCAAGTAAAGGTAGTACACAAGTGACTTTATGGAATTCCAGCACTTAAGTCAACACGACTTAAATCAACACGGCATTAAATGCGCATCCTTTTGCGCTTCCTGTCTGATTTATGGCCATTTAAAGAGGTCCACATTCCGCCGCCGCAGCCGCCGCCCAGAATTAGAATGTTTACTTTTTCATGGAGGTGCAGTCAAAGTCAAAGTTAAAAGTTTTCTCCGAACCACACGAAGACAACCAACGAGGAGAACGCCATGTCCCTGCATTTATATTTAAACCAACACACCGAGTTAATTATAAAAACTAATTTTAGTTTTTATTGGAATGGCGTCCTGCACACATGTCGCAGCTGCGGAGGATAGTTAAGTCGACTTAAGGTGGATGATGGAAGAAATGCGCTCCAGAATAGGAACAAATTGTGTGTGTGTCACGTGTCAACTGCAGGAGATTTATTTTTGGAGGTAGATGTGACTTAAGTCAGTTTAAATCAAACAATTATGTCTCGGTGTGTTTGTGTTGGAATCACGCTTGGTGGCATTTGTGGCATTCAACATTGAGCAGGTCGACGGACCCTGAAAGCGACCCAAACCGCGGAATATTCTGATCGAAAGATTCCGAGTCACGTTCGATGGCGAGACGCGCGCGCGGTAGACTTAAGTTGACTTAAGCCGGAATGGCGATGCCGGGCATGAGTCACTCGGATGGTGCGTGCATGTTCGGTTGGCTACACACCAACGTCCTTGTCTTCCGCTATCAATTTCGCACGGATTTATGTGCGCACAAGAACAAAAAGTGACTTAAGAGTTAAGTCACTATAGTTTTAGGTTACAAATTGCTACGTTTGCTGTGTCTTTAGGAAATTTAAAGGAATTATATTAGATTTATACACTATATAATCAAATTTTAACTCTAGAGGGCGTTAAAGTTTGAAATTTAAGCAAAAAGTGCAAAAAGTTAAGTCACTTTTGTTTTCGTTTACAAAAAATTGAATATTTCAAAAAGTTCTTGGAATAAATCATTCGGGAATGTCTCATTTTAAAGAGAATTAAATTGTTGATAAAATTTACTTTTTTCCTAAATGTTTTTATTTTTGGTTGTTCTGTTACAGTGCCTCAAAAAATCACTATGAATTAACAACAAATGTTGTTAACTTTTCATTAAAATTCAAATAATTTCGGTACCAAAAGGAATAAATAAATTCTGTAAACGCCATTTGAAACCTAATTAAATTTGCCAGAAAATACTTTTTAACCTATTATTATACCTCTCTTGGTATGGCCGCTAGATCGCGCCAAAATCGAACAAGAAAATTAAGCCCAAAAATTATTAAAGTTCAGAAAAATGCTTGTAACTACTCTAATTTTATAATTAAATAAGGTATTTTTAGACAATCTTAAAAGAATGAAATTACGCACATAATCTATCAGTTACCATAAAATTATCTTATCTGGTTTTGCCGCAATAGGAGTTTAAAATTCACCATAAATGGTCACAAATTCAAAATATTGATTATAAAAATTGATAATAATTAGATAAAAATCGATCCAATAAAACAATATATCATACTCCAATCCTTATCCCCATTTTTACTTATGTATTTATTGTCATTGGAGATTAGTTCTGATCTAATCTGTTCGTAAGTAATCTCCGCCTGCGCATTGGAGATGATTAACGGTGAAAAATACTTGAATGGTAACTTGTCTGCTTGTCTTCGCGTTTGTCTCGCGTTTACGAGTTTCGAGTAGTGCATGCGCAGCTGACTTAAGAGTTAAGTCAGCAGCATGGCCGCGAACGCGCTAATGTTGTTTTCGTTGCGGCGCGCCGCAGCGAAACGGTAAGGCAAACGCACACGAGGATAATGCCATAATGCTATGGATGCTCGCGTGCCTAATGCGCCTAATGGTAATAGGAAGGCCTTCTGCGCCATGCTGTGAGGTCGTTTGAAATGTGACTTAAGTTCTTGCTTGAGTCTAAATTTAGAATTTTGCATGAAAAACTTGTTTTTTGTTAGAAAACATCAAATAACTTTTTTGTTTATTGAAATAGAGATTTGATTTATTTTTTATTTTATAACCAATTAAATTTCTCATTAACTACGTTTTAAATAAATATCGTGAAATATCTTAATTAATGCTAATTAATGTTTAAAATTTAGTAAGTCATTTAGTTTTTGAAATTCTTGTTTTGTTTTACTAAAAGTGCAATAACGCCTAAAGTATCAAATAAAACTCAATAATTTTTTATCTGCTTAAAGTCAATTAAAATCTTCATGTAATAAATGGCAACAAATTCTAATCAAACATTTATACTGAGTGTGAAAATAATTTAAACTTCATTAAATTTTGACTAAAATCATCAACGAATTAAATACATCATAACTCCGAACCCGATTTAAACAATTCAATTATGTTTACTAAATATTATACTCCATTAAATTAAAAAACTTTTATTTTATTACAAAAATTGTCTACACTCAGTATTTCTCGAGATATAGAATTTTTTATTTTAAGCTGAAATATTGTGCCACTCACCTCACACAGCGCAACTCCCGTCTCCAATCTCTCCATGAAGTTCTCAATATTGATCTGCAGATGAGGGTAGAGCATCTGTAACCATTCAGCAAGATCCTCCTTCATGGCAAAGAGATACTCCTCGCTGGATTTGAAGGGCCGGAATGGCCTAGATTCCAATAAAACTCCCGACATCTTCACAAATTGGAATTCACTTCGTTTACGTTGAATATTTATCGATCTAAGTTATCGAAGAAGTTTAAATATTGAGGTAAAACGTCGTATACGTCATAGTTTCTTTTGGGAGGTTAGAAATTGACGGAATCTGTAACAATAAACAATAAAATTAATAATTTAAAATATATATTTTAATAAATTTAAAAAACGAAAACTTAAAGAAGTATAATTCAGAAACAAAGAGAAATATAAAAATAATTAATTAAAATAATATTTGGAGAATTTAATCAGTTACTATTTAAAGTTTAAATAATTAAAAAGTAAGCAATAGTTCGTAAGTTATGATTGAATTAATAATATAATGTAAAAGTTGGTATTATTTTTACATTTCACACTTTACCTCAAATTAATATGTAAACCGCAAGTGTTATCAAAATGAGTAAATAAAAATGTGCGCATGGGTTATTGCTCTACATGATAAAACTTTATTTGTAGAAATTCCAGAATAAATAGTAAAGTTATGAATCATTTTATCATCAAATGCCAAATCAAAATTCAATAGTTTTACTACAATGAGCGATTTGCACCAAACTAATAACCATATCAACACTGAAAATATCCAAAAATATAAACATGTTAATCAATTATCATTCAATATAAATTTTGACAAATTATCAATTGTTTCTTTATTGTTATTCCACATTTTTAAAGTATTTATATTTAAATACACAAATGCAGTGAATATTAGAACATATTTTCAGTTAAAACTCAAATAAAACGACATATTGAAAACGTTACAATCAAACAATGCAGGACTGTTACGCCAAATTCTACGGAAGTGTGATAACATGTTTGGGTGCTGCGAGGGTCTCACTATCAGCCAAACTCATAACATTCATGGAAAGAATTCATGGAAAGAATGCACAATTTATAGAAACACGCAAAATGAAGGGAAAATGTTCATATGGTGTCTTTCCCATAGGAAATTATAGTTTAACAATTGTTTACCAAATGGATGATAATATTTAAATGCTATTTTGGAACTGTGCAAGCCGTTAGAGGGCGTTAAAGTCCAAGATAAAATTTCAAGAGTTAAAACACTAACTACTTTAAACCAATATAACTTTTGTTTAACAAACGCTATTTTAATAATTTAAAGGTCAATCGATAGCCAAATAAATTTTCTATTAATCACCAAATATTCAAAGAAATTGATAAAATACATTTGAAGTTATTCCGCTTCAAAAATTAAAATAATTTTTCCAATTTATACAACGCAGTAAAAGTAACACACGGTACTTCAAAATACTATAACAAATCCAATAAAAATACTAAAATAATAATTCCAACATGAAACTATAGTTTATTAAATTTACTATCACCTGGACCTCACCTCATGCAATTAAACCGATTACTTTTTTTATAATTAACTCTCAAAGTCCACCGAAACTAAACCTACTCAAGTTTCCGAGTAAAAAATAAGTTTCAAGTTTAAAGTCCGCACACAGAACATAATACTTAAACAAAGATTCATAATTGCAATGTTATTATTATTATCGCATGCTTTTCGTGTTTTGGCTATGAAGTGTGAACTAATGCGAAAATACAGTTAACACGCGATGTGAATACTACACTCAAACCGAAAAGTGATCCACATACGAGAATGTAATGTGCATTGAGTAATTCATATTTCTACAAACAGTGAAACATGTTTTATTTACAAATAATTAATTTTAAATTGTGTCGAGTCAATTGACATATGTTTCAACATTTTCAAAGCTATATAAGTCATGAATATACATGGAATGTTGAAAGAAATAAAAGTAAGGTTAAAACGGGTTAAATTGGAGATTGTATTGTATAAGGTTAGGTCTTCTATTGTTTGTAGTTTGGCCGCTAGAGGGCTTTAAAGTTGAACATGTTTCAAGTGAAAACTAAACTTTGAATTTATGAATTATTATAGTTTTTAATTAATAATTTTAAAACGGAATCTTATATAACAAATGTTTAAAAACATATTTACAGATAATTAAATTATTTACTAGTGCTATTTTTGTCAAATTTATTGAAGCTAAATTGTGACCGTGAGAGGCTTTCAAAGTCGAACGTAATTTTTTAAAATTTATAAAACAGATTTTCTACAATATTTTAAATTTTCTCACATAATTAATTAAATAATTATGATTGATAATTTATTTTTACACCAATCAATAGCCAATTAAATTTTCTATAAACTTCCCTTTTGTTCATACATTTTACTTAAAAATTATAACCTGTATTGAACTTCAAAGTTCAGTGAAAAATATTTACAAAAATACATCTGGTATTCTGCAACAATTTACATTTGAACCTCTCAATCGCAACATAATTACCAAATACTAAATATTTAAAAACCAAATGCATGCCAATTAAATCCTCTCCAAAGCACACGTTACACCAAATGAATATCTCTAAAAGTGTGCCGGTTAAGTGCTCTTAAAAAAAGCGTCCCATTTCCAACACGATTTATACCCATTTCTATGCAACCATCAAACCATACAATTGTAATAATCAACACGTGGTGCGACATAATCACCGCCTCATTTGCGTAATTAATCGATTCGTAACCAAATAATCGAGCGCGCATTTTTAATTCGCTCGCTTAGCTCGAGTCGCCTTAAGTCGCATGCAAATCGCGCTAATGCACCGGGCGCACTTTTTTATCGGTTGATTACGAATGATTATTTATTATTAAAATGCGTTAACACCAGCGCGCATAATGAATGGGGATTTATTTTCATTAGCGCTGATGCTGTTTATAGTTTATATCTCGCGCGCTGGGGAAATTTATGTGCGGCGATAATTAAAGCGGCATTAAATGCGCTTTACAGGCCGCTTCGGACACGCTACATGAAATGTATCACTGTAATGATGTACTACCGGCGTGAAAATATTATTTTTTAATGGGTTTGTTTACTATTTGCTGTTTAAATACCTTTTAAAATATGAAAAACAAGAAAAAATGAGAAAATATTTTTTTGAAAATGAAAATGTTTAAACAAATTCACATTGCACGATACTGCATGATTCAATTGTAGAATTTTTGGTTTCATCTAATAGTTAATTAAATTCTCTATAAATTATTTTAGTTGAAAAAAGTGATTAGAAGATTATTGTAAAAGTTATAAGGCTTTAAAGTTGCGCTAAGAAAAATTTACCTAAAAATTCCATTTTCTCTTTAATATTCAATAACTTTTAAACTAATAACAATATTAACAATATTTAAAAAGGGTCTTAAAATATAGTAAATTATCTATATAAGTGCGTTTACATCATTTTTGTTTCATTTTTAGTTTTTGGGTAATTTGCAGTCAAACTTAAACTATTTTTTCTCTGATAAAAACACACCTTATTTTATTAAATTATAAATAACTTTTAAACAATATACTCTAACAGTTAACCATTGATATATTTATAAAGTGAATGAAATTCCCTTTAAATTGATACCTCACTCAAAATTATACACAAATTATTACTTCTTTAAAATCAAAGTTAAACTGATATGACTTAACTTAAGTAAACTCACCAAAAATTAATTCAGCTGCTTCTTATCGTAATCGTAAGTTGTAAGTTGTAAATCGTAAGTATTTTAAACTATCACCAAACAAATTTATTAACTTATCGTGTGGAGTCAAATATAAATTAAATATTAATTTAAATTATCGTAGTGTCACTCAAGTTCATACAACACACACAGAATTCGAAGCCGGTCGGACACAGTTAAGTTCTGTGAAGTACGAGTGTCGAATAGATATGAGTGCAGCCAGAGCGCGCGAGTTGAGTCGAGTTGACTTAAGCTGAGTCGCGTGTGTGCGCGCACCAGCGAAGCGCGAGTAACTAAGCACTGCGACTAGGAAACTTGCGTATATTATTCTCCCGCGCGTACACTTCCACCAATTCCAACAATCCAACTAGGCAGTGGATGAAGGTTGGTGTGCACATGGAGCATGAGCACCGAATGTCAACATCAACAATATCAACCGGTAACTACACTCTATCCCACTAGTAACACTACTTAAGTCAAGTTTTAGCTTTTTGTTTGGTCTTTTTTGTTTAAGCAGAGATGCTGATGGGTAAGCGCATCAAGGCGAGGAGCAGTGGAGACTGAGTGTCAATGTGGCTCGCACATGTAGTCTATGTATCGAACACATGCGCGGAGTGTAGGCAGGCAGAGATGAAAAACATCTATTGTTTGATACGAATTTTTTGTTTAAAATAAGATAACTTGGAAACTACGCCTGATACTGAGATGAAACAAACACTATTTTAGAGATAATTTAATTGTGATTTGGATTGACGTAAATGGTTCTACTTAAAATTTTAGTAAACAATATTTTAATGAGAATTTTTGGTTTTTAAATTTTTATTTTTATCAATATGTAACTATTGTACCACTTCTTATTTATTATTTAAAATGTTACGTAATATAGACTATTTAATTAGGATTAGAATGAATGTTTAAACAATTAAATATGTTATTAACTTTGCGAGTTACTAGGTTTTAAAATCCTTGAAAAAAATAAGTTTAAAATTTGGAAAAATTAAAACGTGAATTCAACGAACGATAAATTAACTTTAGAAATATTATTTTAAATAGTATCATACATCATTTCAAATAGAATTTAATAAACTTTAAGATGATGAAAAAACAAAAGCAAATATAGTATTACTTTATGAATAATCCATAATTTAAGTAACATTTTCATAATTTTTCTCTTATTAAACAGTCACATCATGTCTAAAAATAGCATTAAATTAACAAAAACAGTGTAATTATCAAGCTGATATCTTAATTATTAACAAATATTAACATTAACTCGTTACACCGTTATCTATGGTTGTAAATTGCAAAATTTTACATTTTATACATGTTAACCTCGTTATTCTTACCTATTGTATATAAACTGGATATGCTTCTTATCAGTCACATAATATCTTCAACTTTAGTGAGAAACAACAATATAACTGTGATTAATAAAATAAGAAAAAAATGCATGAAAACCTAAAAATTTCAAAACATCTAAGTTTAACACGAATATTTTGGTTAATTCTCTGGCTGTTTGTGTTAACAGTTAAAGGACAATTTAATATAACAAAAGTAAATAGTGGTGTTTACATAGAAGACCTAGGAGAAGTTTTAATCACCTCTGGATCATTCCGAATACAAGTAATTTTCGAAAAAAGTCGAATTCAACAAGATATCAAACAAGCAGAAGAAATTGACGAAAATTTTGAAATAATCTGCAATAAAACAACAATACCTCTCATAAAAACAGAATGTGCATCACTCCAACATCATCTACAAATCCAAACAAAAAAATTACAATGGATAAAACACGATTTAGCAAAAATTCAACAAAAACGAAAAATCGTGTTAAACGTGGAATGTTTGGAAAATTATTAACAGCTATCTTCGGAGTAAACGATGATGTATACAGAGATATCGATAAACTGGATAAAAACCAACAAGAATTAATAAAAGCCTCCAAAAATCAAACTCATGTAATGATGTCGACCGTAGTAAACTTAAATAATATCCAAGAGAATATTGATCGACAACTCAAAGGATTCCAAGAACAATTAAACATGAAACAACAATTTATGACTGATACAAAAATATATATTCAAATGACCAGTGCTTATCAATTAGGTTTGGGTTACATTAATGAAGTATGCGATCATTATAAGAAACTGACAAGAATCGGATTGAGTAAGAGTGATTTTCTCGAAATAATATCACCAGAAGACGTCTCAGAAGCAGTTGAAATAAGTAAAACAATATTACCAAATGATAAAAGTGTCTTGGGTAGTTATTTACTAAAAACATCCATAAAACAAAATGATACTCATATTATTATAGCAGGATACTTCCCTATTATTGATAATACAGAATATAATCTGTTGAAGTTGACTGCAACACCGCTTAAGATAAGTAATGATACTTATACCACGCTAGAAATGCCTAATAATTTCATTGGAGTTAACTATAACAAGCAATACTTGTTTGAAATGGGTAAGGAAGAATATACAGAGTGTATCTTTATAGAAAATAATAAATATGTATGTGCTTCTGTTGTGGTTAAGAAATTAGGTGTTTCGGATAATTGTGTTATAGAAGCTATTTTTAAAAATGATGAACCATGCGCATATAAGATACTAAAACATGACTTAAGTCACATTGTATGGAAACAGTTGTTACTCTCGAATACCTGGTTGTTTATAACTAATAAAATTGTATCTATTGGTGTTGAATGTTCTGGAAGAAGGACGAATGCTGTATTACAAGGATCAGGGATTTTAAAAGTAGATACAGGGTGTTCAGTGGATAGTAAGCAACATGTGTTACTATCTAGTCATTTGGAAACTTATAATGTTGTTGGGTCGTATATTCAATCAGTGAATATTTCATGGAGTGAAATGGAGGTTATGAAACCACGGTTAAAGGAAAGTGTTTATAAACATTTGGATACGTTTGATGTTATTATTGATAAAGAAAGAAAAATTTCTGAAGAGTTGAATGATACTAGTTGGAAAAGTTTTGAGCTGCATCAGTCTCATGCATGGTTTTTAATTTTTGGAGTTGTTTTAAGCAGTGTTGTGACTTATTTTGTGATAATGAAATATCAAAATATGTCTTGTCTAAACAAGAAGAAGAAGAAGAAGAAGAGGAATGATGAAGAAGTAAATCCAGAATTAAGGGGTCTTTCTGAGAATAAAGATCCATCACAGGAGGTTTAAATGAGGTATTAAATTAGTGTCAATTGAAATCAGATTAGGAGTAAACTGTTTAAACTAAAATGCATACGTGACATTCATGTTGTATTTCGTTCGAATTAGTTCTATTAATAATATATTCTACAATCAATAGATGTATTTGATGATAATGAGATCAATAACATGTTTTTTCAGTTATAAGTTTTAAATTTTGACTTTTGACTCGGAAATAACTTCAAATAAGATTAATCATTATTGAGGATTTTTATTGTTGTTTAAATTTTAAATATAAGCCAATTGTTATTTAAATGATTTCCTAGATCTCTTTTAAAGTGCAAGTACGTTATAAAGAGTTTCCTAAATAATCAAAATGTAAAAATAATCATTAAAAACACTTGTTTTAAATATTACACTTCAATATTTAAAAACCTACTTTAACCCACTTGAGAGTAAATAAAAATAAATAAAAATAATTCATAAGTAACTTCAAAGGCAACTCCCAAAAAATAGTCAAAGATCCCTAGGATGACCTATTTCAACCGGAAAGATACAGGTAGCCAAAGGATACGAAGGATGCGCCGTTACATATTGGGTTGAAATGAAGATCCACCGCAGCAGTGAAGAGGATAAAGATTAAAGGAGAAGACGTGAGCCAAGAGATGGGCCAAGAGTGTTGATTAAAAAAATAGTTGAGCCGAAAAAGTCAATTACCTATATGGGTTTTTCTCGAATTTTGTGATGTGATTTGTTGGTTTTTGTAAAAAAAAATATAGGTACCAACGTCGGGGTATTATACTCGTGTATTCTACAACTCTTTGACTTTTAAATTTAATGCTTTTTATATAAAAAGGTCCTTACTTATAAGAAGCTTAATGAAAAGAAGTAAAAGTCAAGTAAAAGTCAAGTAATTGTAAAGTGCTATCGATTTTAGTATTCACGTACTCGTAGTACCCATGTACATAGCAATACCAAAACATACAAAAAAGTCACACAGGATTACAGATTGATTAAGGACTAACCCCACATCCACACATACCCTCACGAATTGAGGCCACGAGATTAATATTAATTTGCGACGTATTCAGTAAGTATTGATTTTATCATTCTATTCTTATTAACTAAATTAATCCTAAATTATCCCTAATATCTTTTTAGAATCAAAAAACATTTTAAACAACAAATAAATTAAAAACCTTCAACAATACAGATAATTCTAATTATAATTAAAATACGTATTATTCAAAATTTGAAAAATCAATATATTCTACGAATATTACATTGCATTACCTTAAAGGACAATGACTAACAGTCAAAGGTGTTGGTTATTAATAATCAGCTGATTCATCATTCGAGCACTGCTGGTACTACTACCAGTAGTACGCGCAGTCGGTGTGAGTTATCGTCCTTGCGGCGCGACGCCGAGTCCTGCGCCTCTCTTATCGATCAGCCGGCACGCCACCGAACACCTACACACGTCTACACACACACACTGATCAAGGACCAGACCACACCAAACACTCCGAACAGCCGTAAAATGAAACGAAATGAAATTTATTAACTAGGCCGCAGGATATTCACTCCTTGTTACGTTTTTAATATCACAATAAATTCACTTTATATTTAGTCCTTTTACACGTAATAATTAATAATAATAGTCTTTTAATCGTTCTTTTAATAGTACCATAATAATTTTATTAGGTTATGAAATATAATATTTAGTTTCTTTTTCTTTTTTCTTTGTTTTGTTGGGTAATGTCCTGATTATTTTTAGGAATGTTAGGTTATAACTCTGAGGTATAGGTTAGTTAGGTGCGGGAATGTTGAGCGGCCGGATGCCGCGAGAGCCGCAGGACAACTCAACGCCCGGCACCTCTACCACTACCACCACCCTTAAATTTTCTACCCTTGATGAAATTGCGTGCGCATCCACCACGCGCTACATGATATTTTTAAAATGTATTTTTTTTAATAAAAATAGGTTATAATTAATAAAAATAAATAATTTTTTAATTATTAGTAATTTGTTATACTTTCAAGGATCTTTTTAATGTGCCGCTGATAAAATCAACCTGGTGACGATATGTCTCGCAAATTTTCACAATAAAATTGATAATTTTACAATAAGTCACAATCACTTGATAATGATGATTAAGCATTTGTTTTTGTTCATTATCTTATCATTATTATTATTACTTTTTAAATTATTATTATCCGCACGTAGTTTCGGCTCCTTTTGCGAATTATTCCACGTTTATTTTGTAATTCTGAGAGATAAAATTACAAGATAATACGCTATGCTAAAACATGTAGACTTAAGTAAAGTTGACTTAAATGTCTTAAGTTAAGTTGAGTTGAGTTGAATGTTTCTTTGTTTATTTTATTTTATTTTTTGCTAAAAATACCTAAGACGGTAAACATTCAAGATTTAATATTAAGATTGCAATAAGAAACAAAACAAAAAGTTAGAAAATATGAATAGAAGCCTGGAGAAAACGAGAGTGCTTTATTTTATAATATAAATATGATATAAAAGCATGAGATAATATTGTTAGGAATAATAGTAAGAAGAATTCAATTATGAATGCTCTTCTATTCAATTTATTTTATTCTGTTCCTGAGGATATAATAATTGTTACTTTATGTACAGGTAATAATTAAAATCAGAGGAAGCAATCATTATTTCATTATAATTGCATTGCGCTATGAATGAAGTATGAGATACTCGTACAATAAAAAAAGGTTTATTATAATTAATGAAACATAACTTGGAATGTACTCGGAGAAAAAGAAGAAGAATACGAATAAGTATAATGTACTCGTAAGAATGCAGAATATAGAATGGAAAGATGAAGATTATGCATACATTATTTATTTATTCATTAATTCAGATGGTAAATTATTCAATTTGGCATGGGAAAAATATTATTCATTATATGATACGTGGTATTATAATTATTTTTAGTGAATTAAATTTATTTTATTTTATTTTTTGTGAAAAATATGCTAAATTCGATTAAAAGTATATTAAATATCAAGTGGCTAAACAAGAGCTTTTCTTATGAGATTGAGAGCGGAACGAGCATTTAATAAATCGAGTGTTTAACAATCTTTAGTCACGTGATGCTATTTTTCTACTTTTACTCTATTTGGACGTTGAGGTTTTTCATGATTTTGTGCAGCACTGTATACAAATGCACATGCGCCCGCTCCGTCCCGTGACTAAAACCAGTGACTAAAGTATGTTTGTGTTTAAAGTACTACTTTTGTGTCTCAAAACCGTGAAAAACCTGACGCTTTAAAGGTGAAAGTATAAAATTATTATTTTTAATTTTGTTAAAAACACACCAAATTCAATTCAAGTGACTTAAGATAAGTATGATATGTTATGTTACTATGTATTACTAACTTTAAAATTAGTTATATTGAAATAAAAATCCAAGACACTGAATAAAACCAATATTTCTATTTAGAACCAAAATAACATCCACCTATAATTATAATATGTTTATCTTAGAGGTTATGACTTTGAACTACTTCATATTACTTCATATCCATATGCAAATACAAATCCTTTCGACATTTTTACTAAATATGGATACAATGTACTCGTATTTATGACTTTCGGAAGAGAAACAGATTTGTAACTAAATTAAGTATACCATACATGTAGTGTTCAAGTATGAAGCATTTTGTGTAGTTACTCAACAAAATCAATACGGATGTTTGTTTTTGTACATAAACTGAAGAAGGTTATTAGTAACATGAAGTCGTAACTTGAATAAACATAGATTAACATATGTCCAGTATAGAACTCAATGGTACAGACTTAAGTGTACTATAATATAGAATAATGTTAGTATAGCGTACAAAAACGATCAGTTTATTAATAAACTAAGAATTTGTATGAATGTAGCAATCAAAATTGTATACACGCACATAAAATATGTCGACGTATTAGATGATTGACGAAAATTATAGGCTCGTTATGTCATAATATCAATTTTTACTTAATACTTCAAAATTACGTATTTTTGATATACTTGTGTGTTTGTGACGCTTTCACGCAAAAACCACTGAACTAATTTTGATCAAATTTAGTATAGAAATAGTTTTGAGCCAAGAAAAGAAAATAGGCTACTTTTTATCGCAAAAATTCAACTGGAAGGGTGAAAAATAAGGGATGAAAGTTGATATAAAGATTCCGTCACTGTTATAGTTATATAATTCAAACCTAGATGGCGCAAAATTCTATTTTTAATTTTTCTTTTTTTATAATTAAAATAAAAAAATTTATTAACAAATTTTCCGACTAACAGATCCAATAAACAACAAAATAAAAGTTAAAATACTTTTTTTATTAAAATCTCTGCGAACTAATCCTGTGACTAAATGTTATACTAGAGTTTAATAAGATCCTATGTAGTAAACTACAAACATGTTGCAAACTAATTGATGAAACACTTATCACGACCACAACCATAAAGTCACATACACTTAACTGCACAGCCACAACTCACAACTAACAGCTAACTCACTTTTAAGTGGATAAATGAATGTTGCATTACTATTACGACTAGTACACGCACGCACACCCGCGTATACCAGTGATATAAATATTTAAATGTGTGAGTGATGGAATGAGTGATTGAGTATGTAGCAGTCCATTACACGTTGTGTGACCGTCACCCAGTTTCCTGTCGGGCGCCGATGTTACTGAGCATCATATGGTGACGCAGGCGAAAGCAAAACACATCACTTTTACTTCACAGTCACAATAATACAAAATACTTACCAGGGTATATATAATATTGTCAATTGTAAATAAATTACTTACCTGTGTTACTTAAGTAATATAATAAATTCTATCTATACTTACTTCTATTTTTACAACCCTGAGAATATGATGTGTTCCGTCATTTCAAAGAATAAAAATCACTGCGACCGTGAAAATGTCAACACTCGACTTCTTGTAGTCCTTTAAAGGCGTTGTAAGGATGACTGGATGACTACTGCAACGAAAAAGGAATAAATCACTGCGTCAAGTTCACATCAACGAAATTTATTTCCAATTAAACTAACAGGGTAGATCGCTATCACCAGCAACGACTACAAAAGTAGGTAGTTGTCGCACGGGACGACCTAGGCCCTCACAAAAATAAGGGAGTCGAAAGGACAAGATGGGCGCACCACCTCACCCTTTCATTGACTATGTAAACCGCGCGTCACCACGGCTTGTATATTTTCCTTACTCATTAGTTTAAGGCACGATTTTTCCCATATAATGCATTCTATTATATATAAAGGCAATAAGTTTTATGGTAGAGAAGGTTCACGCGAGCAATCTAGTAGAGAAGGGGAAATTTAATATAAGGAGCTACCGAGAAACAGGACTTAGAGTACATAAGTCGCCATCTATTCGCAGATAGGTAAACTTCACTCATATTTTAACGCGGAGTTCTACTTTTTGTATAGCAAGCCAATACACAAGTACAAGACTAATAAGTTGCCTATAGTAAAAGTTTAAATAAAAAAAAAATTGCTGAAAAAACAAGGAAATAAACAATTTGAGTATTTCTGTATTGTTTTTATTGAATAAACCCGCATTGCACATCATTCTACATGTTTTTAATTTCATTCACGTTTTGAACGTCCGTGACTCTTAACTATTGATTAAATTTCGCATTTTTACACTACACACTTCGCAATTACTCTAATTAATATTCTTAATGCACATTACGCGTTGCTGTTGTCAAGCGCATACATTATCTCTGTAATTAATTAAATTAATCAATAAAAATAAATTCCACACTTGAAACTGCAACATTATTACTTTTTATTGTTTAAAAATAACCCATGAAGCATTTATTATATTCTTGCAAAGTTTTTGTTTATTTTACGCTTGTAGTTGTACTTGGTATAGGTGTAAATGTAATTGTAGGTGTGCACGAGTTGGCGCACTCCACTTTTCGTCCGCAATTGAAAACCAGTCGCCACTGTTGTCGACGCGCAGTCGTTGGTCGTGCGTGCGTTGATGCCGACGTTCGAGCGCGCGTTCTCAAACAACTCGCAACAAGCAACAAGTTACAAGCAACTTCTTCAATTCCGAAAGTTCACAAGTATTCACTTGTGGCTTGCAGTGCGAAGTTGAGTTTAATACGGCGTCAGAACGAAGGAAATCAACGCTGGAGACATCCAAACGATAAACTGCTTTTGAAAAATTTTGAAAATTTTTCGAAAAAATTTTCAAAAATAAATATAAAAAGTGTTTTTGTTATATTCGCACATTTGGGACTTGTGTGGGACATTTTGGGAGGTAAAGCAACCGTGTTAAACTTGTTTGGACTATCCGAAGGGTGCCTGGCCCTCCAAAAAGGGAGGTAAGCAAAATCATCGGTAGAAAGACGTGCATGGTCGCAAACGGTAGCCCGAGACACCCATAACCAGCTTGCGAACAAGGAACTTCTTCGGATGACAGAGACGCGAGATATGCCGGCTTGAAGTTGGGTTGAGTCGGAGATTCTTCACTGCAAGAGTTCAACTTGTGGCATTCAGGTCGGTCTACCTACCTACCAGATCTTCAAATATCTACAAGAGATCAATATTAATATATTTGCATATTGTGTATCTGCAAGTGACTGGTGTATGTGTTTATGACAGCAGATTTTATTACGAGGGGGAATTCCAAAAAGGGATCCGTTTTTTCATCTGCCACTGCTTCCAGCACGTGAGCAAACACAAACAGCTGTGTTTCTCTTCGGTTAACCTTGAAACCAAACAAGAAACTGCGAATAATTTAAGTGTGATGTTTAAAATGTTAACATTAGCTTCGAAAACTGTTAGTGGAACAAGTGATACAAGTGAACAAATTAAAGTAGTACGTTAATACGCTTCAGTTGGCAAAATGGCGGCGTCGCATGGCAAAAAACGTGCGTTTGGATTATTTGCCACTCTCGTCGAGATGGATGAAGATTCCAACGGGGTTGTGACGAAGATTGACGTTGATGTCGGTGTTGATGTGGAAAATATTCTCGATGCAAGGTGAGTTATGTTTTCTTTGCGTTTAAAATTAGAATATTAGAAAATCGACGGTTTTGTAAATGTTGCACGCGTTGAGACAGTGACTTCGTGACGATTTGTACATTCCTATTGTTTTTGTCGCACGAAACAAAGCCGTAAAAGCCGCGAAGTTGCTGAGTAACTTTCCATTTTTCTTCGTTTTTTGTTTTTCGACACTTTACTATGAATGAATACTAATGACTTGTTGAGACGTTAGTAAGTCAAGTTAAATTTAGAAAATGCTTCGTATGTTTCAAACTATGGCATCAAATTGTACCAAATTTACAGAGGTTATTTTTGGGTAAATTTTACGTATATTTTGATTATAAAATATTTGAAAATTGTTGGGTAAATATCATTAAATTGAGGTTAAAGTTGAAATTTTTACTTTATTTACAAATTTTTACAAAATTTAGAAAATTGTTTATAATTAATAAACTAACAAAGATATCATTATCAAATTAAGTACGATTTATAAACAATTAAATTTTCTATACATCAGTTTTTAAATAATTTAAATATCTCAATTGGTTCTATTGTTAAATTCATTTTAAATACAATGTAAAATTTTAAAAATTCAATTATTGATAATTTTTACGAAACTTTAGAAAATTTGTTATATCTTTAGAACGAATTATCCAAATGATATATAATTTAGCAGATTTATAAACAAATACATAATCTATAAGTTGCTGTTTAAATTTTTGCGATATAAACATTGCAACTGTGTTAAAATTGTTTATAAAGTTGAAGAAATTGAAAAAATTAAAAATATGTAGCACTTCTAGATAAACCTCAGTTATAAACAAATTACTCACACAATATTTATAAATTTTACCATATACATAAACAATTGAATCACCTTTAAGATGATTTTTAAATTGTTTAAAAATTCCAATTCTAACCACATTAAAACTGCTTCCGAAGTTTGGTAAATATTTTCTCACCCAAAACAAAGTATAAAAGCACGCATAAACAAATGATCAAGATTTCTTAATTATTTATAAACATAAATAATTTTCCATTATAAGGCACGTAATAAATTTCCGACACGTTCGGTCGCGTTCGTCACGTCCGCGACGTGCGCCGCGAAATTCCACGCGTCGCACACGCCTCCAATAAATTAATCACCGATGGTGATAAACACAAACATTGATAATTGCGAATCGGAGCCAATGTTAATATTACTACTAGCCGAGGTGGTAGCCGAGCGTGACTATTACTGTATCGCGCTTGACCACTTAATCACTGTTCGCTGCGCATCCGCGGAATGCCGACCATCGACCACCGCTGTGAATGACTCGTAATAATAAACAATGACATGGTATGCACTGTGTGCATATACACATACGTCCATCAGTGATTGACATAAACATTCTAAGTGTTATAAATTGTTTTAGAGGGGTTTTAAGCATAAATTCTGCAGTTTATGGTAGGAATTCGTAAAATTTTTTAAACAAATGCGATTTGTGAGTAAACTAAACATTGGATTGTTTTAAAACTTTGCATGATTAATTATAGTTAAGTAAACATAATGTTTACAAAATTTGGTAAAAATGTATGCAGTAGTTGTTGAGCTATGCAGTGAAATGTAAACAAGTTGATTAATATGAAAATTTATAAACAAATGTTTATAATTCCGGAACTATTCGAGATAAAACATTGGGATTTTAAATTTATATTACTAAGTAATCAATGTTTACATTCCCAGAAATTAGTCAATATTATTCTGTCACTGTGGTTTCTACAGAGTGATAAAGAAAATATTAATTTTTAAACACTCCAAAAATAATCACAACTTTAAACCTTGATATCTCCCAGACTAATACTAATATCTATATGAAATTTCGCTCAAACATGGTCCATTAATCCTACTTTAAGTGTACCAAGTTTGAGTCATATCCATTGCTTCATTTTTATATAACTATAAAAACAAGAAAATATTTAACCTTTGTCTCAAGTGCAGAACAAACCAATGGATTGCACATCTTTCGTCCTCGTGTATATCACAGACACAGACATACTGCACTTAATCACAACCTGCCGATGAATTGATAACGACATGTTACTATATTATAAATAGGTTAAGTCAACAATAACAAAACAAAATCGGGAAACCGTGTAGGTATCACACGTGTCAAATCCGTGTCAAAGTCATCGCTATTGTTTCACATTCCCACAAAAATATTAATTCACCGAAAATGATTTGTTGTAGTGTGTTTCGTAATCTCGAAAGGTATTTTTCGACTAGTTTGTGTCTGATAAGACACTCGAATTGTTTCAGTTTTATGTAAACGTGTCGAAATGTCTGAAATGTGACATGCTAACCCAATTCGACTAATTTTTAGTTCCTTTCGGGGAATAACAGTGGAATTGTTTAGTTTTTGGCTTGTGGAATTATTGTTTTTTGATGGATTATGATGAAATTTTCCCACAATAAGCTTTGATAGTGTATTTAGTAAACAGATCAAAGTTTATAACAATATTGTCATTATTTTAGAGGTTATGAGGGATTAAACATTATAATAGTTTATTTTGTAATATTTTAGTTTTTGTCTGTAAAATATACAATTATTGTTAGATTTTCACTAAACTTTTCCAAATTTTGTTGAGTAGTTAATAGTTTCATTTGTGAAATTTGAACTTATTTAAATTAATATTTATTCTATTACGAACAGTTTAAAATCGAATTTCTGCCTTTAATTACGTTTAAACTGAAACACAACACAAAAAGCTTCGTATTTTATAAACAATTGGGTAAAATTGGATGAAAATGTACACAAATACTTGTAAATAGTTAATACACATTTTCCTCTTGTTGAAATGTAATAATTTCATTTATTGACAGCTTAAAAATATATATTCAAAGAATTTTATATATTTTTTATTTATTTTGTCTTTTTTAGTGAAAATGTTTAGTTTTTGGACTGTCAAAACATTGTTTATTGAGGGATCATAAAGAAATTTTCAGTCTATAAACATTGATAGAGCATCAATTGACATATAAAAGTATATAATCATATTGTTATTATTTTAGACGTTATGGAGATTGAAGCATTGTACGAGGTTTATTTTGAATTATTTTGACTTTTAGCTTGTAAAATACACAATTATTGATAGATTTTTATTAAATTTTTTACAATTATTGTTGAATATACAATAAAAATGTTCATGAAATTTGAACTTATTTAAATAATTATTTATTGTGTTACCAAGCGTTTTAAATTCAAGATTGTATTTGAAATTATCATCAAATGTTAACATCACACAAAACACTCGGTATCTTATAAACAATTAGATAAAATTGGCTAAAAATTTCACAAGCCTTCTTCAATAGTTAATAATCATTATCCCATTGTTTAAATATAATCATAATATTTATTGCTGGATTTATGACGTGTCAAAATGTATACTCAATTTTGCGTATAAAACAAACAAAAAACAATGAACTATTGATAAATTTGCGCACAAGCGGCCATTATACCACGTGTGGGTTAACAATAGTCCAATTATACTCTTATCACCTCCCCGTGCGATTTGCACACATAATCACCACATACAACAAGCGCAAACTTCCTTCTTATGATTCTAATTAAATTAATTCGTCGTCATTTTTTTAATTTTTATTCTGAATTAATTAATTCGACACTTGGCGACAGACGTCGATTTATAAAGTAGAATAGAATTGAATTGAAAACCTGATTATGCGTCGTTACTTGAGACCCTGATTTATGCACGCTCATTAATGTGCGGTAATGCGGTAATCCGAGACGTCGAGGCCAATTAAAGTGTCTATATGGCACTAGTGATTAGCAGATATCGACCGGTTGTGGAAGGCGATGCGTTAATCATGCTAATTTTATTTGTGTTTTGAGGTTTTGTTTCGTGTGGCCTATGAATTATTGATAGTTGGAAAGTTTTGCGATCGACGTGTGGATTTTGTTTTGTTTAAATGTTGAATAACATGAAAACTACAGGGAATATTGATTGGAAATTTTCAGTATAAGTTAATGAATTAGTCATTTGTCTTATGCAATAATTTCAGATTGTTGCTATGAATATTTTAGTTAATACAGGGCAAAAAGTAGGAAATAATTCAGTGTTTAGAATAAAAACTATGTTTTTTGGTAATTAAAGTTAAATAACCTAAAAAGTTTATGATTTTGAAATAGAAAATTTTGTATAGAGTTTCATAGTTGATTAGAGATTAATGTTTCATGTAAATTAAATAAATTTTACAAATTATACAGGGTGAAAACTAAAAATTTCATATTTTTTTGATTTAATCAGTAAATTGTTAATAACTTTAGAAATATTAATAATTCATTAACCAAATCTTGTAGAATCATTTATAATTAATTAAGGAATAATTACTGAGAATTTGACAATAATCCCATGTCTAATTACCTAGTTACAAGCCCTAAACTAATGTATTTAAATTTTATGGGTAAATGAAAATTAAAAATTATTTGTCATGTTTAGAACTGAATAACATCAAAACTAACAACAATATCCTTCCCAAATTGGAAATATAAATTAATATGTTACACAAGATACTTTGTTTAAAATTTGGTGTAAATTAATTGAAAAACACAGTTTCTACAATCTGAAAACCAAACATTTGAAAATGTTATACTTACAATATTTTCATTAGACAAAATTGTTAATAACTCATAAAAAAATAACAAAACGTATAAAATTATTTTACCAAATTGTTTATTATTAATAAAAGAATATTAATTCAAAATTTGATAAAATTTAGTTGATAATTGATGCTGTTACAAGCCTGAAACTATAATAATGAATATTTCCAGTTTTCCTATTCAATGAAATAATTGTATTCAATTAAAATTAATTATATAACATTTAATTAACCCACGACTTGCGCCAACCGCAATGCCGGCAACGCATCACGTTCTATTAACCATTACAACAATTTAAACAATTAAAGTTAAACAATTACCGAGGAAGTTGCACTCGAC